TTTTCCATGCAGGATCTGCAGGAGGGGGGCAATCTGTGTTCCTGATGAGAAGCAAAGCCTCATCCTCTCTCCTGACCCGAAGGTCGTCCACACTGAAATGGGGCAAGGAGGCAAATATGCCCTGCTTTCCTATGTCTCTGCTCCCTGGATGGTCACAGGCCCAGCTGGGACGACACTCAGGTCCCTGGTTCCAGGACTCTAACGATGAAGTGAGTGAGAGAGCTCCGGAGGCTGGCTGGGTGGGGGACTAGGTGATAAGCCGATCAGGGGATGATTGGGTCTATGAAGAAGATGCGGGCAAAGCACAGGACTGAGGGTCAAGACCTGGCAGCCATTCCCCTCTGCTGTCAACTGAGAAGAGTCGTCTGTGTCTGAGAGACCCCGGATCTCCTGACCCATCAGAATGGTTTGAAAATAGACCCGCTCCCAAAGTCCAGATCCAGGTACAGCCCTAAACAAGTGACTGCTGCACCTCCCTTACTGCACCCCGCGGGGCAGCCAGCTCCCCCTGACCCTCTACAAAGGGGACAGGCCTGGAAAGGACCCTCCTGACAGGAGTTGTTAAGGGAAACCAGGTCATGTTGGCAAATTCTGGGGGACTGGAGAGGGGGCGGGCAGCCTCCAGACTGAAGAGAAGTGGGGCGGAGTCAGACCTGGACTTGCTCCCAGGGACTGAAAGCCTCTCCAGCAGCTATGGAGATCTAGACCCTCCAGCGGTCCTTTCATATGAATGGGAGAAAAATGGATCCATCTGTTGAAAACATTTTAACCTACAGAAAGTGTAAAATCAACCTTTCCAAGGTCAATTTGACCCTAGATACTGAAACTTGAGTTCCCAGTCTTCTCACCTCAAAAGACAGAAAAGGCATTACAGTGGAAACGGTGAAACCACGCTGTCCTTACAACCTCACAAGGTTACCTGTGTACCAGCTGCCCTGAGTCTTCAGAGGGTTGGCACCATTAGTTGGAGGAGGAGGCAGTGGTGAAGGCGCCGTGGTGTCTGTAGGGGTCTGTCCCCTGGGATGCTATGGCTCTGCCGTCCCCCAAAGGGGAAGCTGACAAATCCTTCTCTGGTCTTAACCCCTGTGTTGCACCGCATACACCAAAGTCCAGGGGGACTGGCACTTTCCAAAGTATGAGTTGGGAGAGGTTTCATTTTGCACTTTGAATAACAGCTCTCATATCAGAGCAAAAATACTTACACCAATACTTTTCGAGAAAAAGGCAGGGCTTATTTCTCTACCAGACCCACCTGGGTGACATTTGCCGGTTGGTACTTTTTCCCTGTGGTTCATGAGAACGTTGTGCAAATTAATACAATTAATAACTGTGGGATAATATCATCTCAAGAATTAGATGGTGTTTGGGTTTTGGTTGTGTATTTGTTTTAACTTGTTTAGAAACAATTGTATTTTCACAGGAAGCTGCGAAGCTAGTGCAGGTGTTCTGTTATTTGCAGTCATTTTCTGTCTGTTCTCACTAACTATGTTACTTACCAGGATTATTGTACGGAAAAGTTGCAGGAAACAAATGCAAACTGCTTTGGCAGTTCCAAAACAAGATATATCAAAATTAAAGGTTTTTCCCACCAAACAATGTGTTTTCGATTTTCATCAAGGCGCTGGAATTCTAATCCCTGCTGCGCTGAGGCCGCGGGGCGCGCCAGGAACAGAGTGGGCAGACGCTCAGAGGCCACCGCCCTCCAGGCACTGCTGCCCTCTGGCCCCCGGGTTCCTGCCTCACTCCGGGCTTCTCCTGGGTGCGCGTCCCCTCCCAAGGGGTCCCTCCCGGCGGCGCCCTCGGCTCTGGGAGACAGTCACGCCGGGAACCTGAACCTTGGGCAGCGGCACAACTTCTCGGGGGCGCGGACTTCGCACAGTTTGTCTTCCGTGTGTCAGGCAGGTCCGGAGCTGGGCTCTGTACGCTGCCCTGTCCGCGGTCGGGGTTCAGCGGTCCTGGAATAGGGAACCGCTCTTCGTGAGGGTGCAGGGGGCCCGGGATGGACTCACCCAGACCCCGGACCCTGAGAGGGGCGGCTGCCCCTCCGCGTGCACGCGCAGCTGGAGATCGGGAAGGGCGGGGGAGTCACACCTCCCTGGGGAGGAAATGGACAGACTCACAGCGCCTTTCAGAGTTCATTTCCCCCATCGGAGAAGATTAAAGTTAAGTGGCGTTGAAAGGATCATGGGAGGATCTCAGATCTGCAACTGGGATCCCGTTATCACCGGGACAGCGGCCGCCCATCAGCTTGGCCTCATCCCAGGCTGGGTCCTCCCCCCACCCCACCCAACTCTGAGCAGCACCTCTAAACACTCTCATCCAATCCACTCTCCGGGGGAGGAGCCACAGCCTTTAGGGCGGGACCCCAATAGCTCCACCCTCCTGGTGATTATATATGCCTGGGTCACAACCGGCCCAGACCATTTCGTGGGACAGCGGACTGAGGACCAGGCGTTGGGACACCGCCAGAGCCGCACCAGGTAAGTGGGGAGCAGAAGTGGGGAGCGGACAAGGCCAGGGCTTCCTGAGTCCCTGCTCTGGGCCCAGCCTAGGGACCCACCTCCTAAGGAATCTGGGCTCAGGTTTGGCTTCTGCTAAAACCTGTCCTTTATCAGGGTTCCCGGTCCCTTTAGCCTGCCTTGTCCTAAGTCACCTAAATGCTTACTGAGAGCACAGATGCCAAGTTCCTACCCTGTCCTGGGGGCCTGAGGATGAAAATACTTGTGTGTGACAAACCCCCAAGGCTGGTCTGAAGCTGTGGGATCCCCCTCCAGGAGGTCTCAGTCCTGGGCAGTGTGGGGTGTTAACCAAAGCCCCAGAAACCCAGACCTCACTGAAATAGAGACGTTTATTGGGAGTCGTTAGGACTGCAGCCCCGGAGACACAGATTCAAAAAGCACTTGAATTGTGTCCCCAGGGTACACAATGGGAAAGGCTTATAAAGGCATGAAACCTGCAAGGTTCCATCAGTTGGCTGTCAATAATTAGGATGGACCTGGCAAGAAGGGTGATGGTTAAACAGAGAAGGACTGGTTGTTGCTCAAAATGATAACACAATTGTGAGGGTAGGGGTGAGGAGGGGTTTGAAACTACAAGGCTGCAGCTAGAGCTGTCAGCAGGTACTGCTTTGTAAACAGCTGGTGGTGTCCTTGAGTTTGATCCAGTTCAGAAAAGTCAGGTTGTTACTGGTGCAGGGATGTGTCTGAAACCACATCCACACTGGCCACCAGCTCCATTTTGACTTTTAAGTGACTTTAAATCTCATCAGTGTGCAGGTGGGGAGGGACAGCGATTAGAGCTCCGGGGGCCAGGGAGGAATTTGGTCTTCCTCCATCTCACCATGCC